GACCAAGAATAACCTCTCATTGTACTGATTATATGCACTTTATTAGTGGTGTGTGTGTGTGTGTGCGCTGCGTGCATACTGGTGCGGCATGCACATAGATATAGATGTGTGTCTAATATAAATGTTCTATACATATATGGCTGCACAATTTTTGTCAACTTCTTCATGGTATGTAAATGCATTCTTAAGATTGATTTCCACAGGACATTAGAGAGTGTGTGAAAGTGTGAGGTTATGTGGCTTCAGGTGTACACTATCCCTGTCGCTGATGCTAGCAGCTAGCATTAAAATCCCTGCCATAAACATAAAAATGTCACTAGCACCTAGCGTTAGCATCCCCGTTGTAAACAGATTAACGGTGCTAGCACCTAGCATTAGCATCCCTGTTGTTAAGGCCTTGATAGCGAAGCACATCTGAGACAAAGAGGCAGAGAGTGTGAAAGCGAGAAAGAGAGAAATTAGAGAATAAGAGAAAAGTTAGAGAGAGACGGACAGAGAAAGGGACAGGAGGAAATTGAAAAGGAAATGTTTTCATTTTGAGTGCTGCTGTAACCAAGAAACTCTCGCTCAGTCTCTCCTTCCTCCGTCTATCGCTCTCTCTCTGAATCTCTCTCCCTCCCTCCCTCCCTCCTTCCTTCATTCCCTGTCTGTGAGAGAAGGCAGAGAGAAGGAAGGCAGAAAGGGGGAAGCTGGAATGACAGAGGGCTTGGTGGGGCCAGCCATTGGGCCAAAGATGAAAGGGTTTCATTATTTATTTCCCCCTGCTCCAAGGATGCAGCCACGATCCCAGTGACAGAACCTTTGAAGATTGGGGGCTTTGATGGGAATATAACTAAATTTTTGTCGGTTGCTTCTGTCACATGTGCCTCACTTTCCTAGTTCCCACCCCTCTTCCCTCGCCTCTCGTCTTTCTCTCACCCCTCTACCCTTTCCCCCTTTTCCCAGTGGGTGTGTCAGTGCCCCTTTGTTGGTATGTGGGTAAAGGTATGGCACGCTTGCAGTAGGAATGGTAAAGTAGGTACACTACCGGTCAAAAGTTGTAGAACATCTAGTCATTCAAGGGTTTTTCTTTATTTTTACTATTTTCTACATTGTAGAATAATTGTGAAGACATCAAAACTATGAAATAACACATATGGAATCATGTAGTAACCAAACAATTGTCAAAATATATTTTATATTTGAGATTCTTCAAATAGCCACCCTTTGCCTTGATGACAGCTTTGCACACTCTTGGCATTCTCTCAACCAGCTTCACCTGGAATGCTTTTCCAACAGTCTTGAAGGAGTTCCCACATATGCTGAGCACTTGTTGGCTGCTTTTCCTTCACTCTGCGGTCCAACTCATCCCAAACCATCTCAATTTGGTTGAGGTCGGTGGATTGTGGAGGCCAGGTCATCTGATGCAGCACTCCATTACTCTCCTTCTTGGTAAAATAGCCCTTACACAGCCTGGAGGTGTGTTGGGTCATTGTCCTGTTGAAAAATAAACGATAGTCCCACTAAGCACAAACCAGATGGGATGGCGTATCGCTGCAGAATGCTGTGGTAGCCATGCTGGTTAAGTGTGCCTTGAATTCTAAATAAATCATAGACAGTGTCACCAGCAAAGCACCCCCACACCATCACACCATCACACCTCCTCCTCCATGCTTTATGGTGGGAAATACACATGCGGAGATCATCCGTTCACCCACACCGCTTTTCACAAAGACATGGCGGTTGGATCCAAAAATCTCAAATTTGGACTCCAGACCAAAGGACAAATTTCCACATGTCTAATGTCCATTGCTCGTGTTTCTTGGCCCAAGCAAGTCTCTTCTCCTTATTGGTGTCCTTTAGTAGTGTTTTCTTTGCAGCAATTCGACTATGAAGGCCTGATTCACACAGATGTTGAGATGTGTCTGTTACTTGAACACTGTGAAGCATTTATTTGGGCTTCAATTTCTGAGGCTGGTAACTCTAATGAACGTATCCTCTGCAGCAAAGGTAACTCTGGGCCTTCCATTCCTGTGGTGGTCCTCATGAGAGCCAGTTTCATCATAGCGCTTGATGGTTTTTGCGACTGCACTTGAAGAAACTTTCAAAGTTCTTGAAATGTTCCGTATTGACTGACCTTCATGTCTTAAAGTAATGATGGACTGTCGTTTCTCTTTGCTTATTTGAGTTGTTCTTGCCATAATATGGACTTGGTCTTTTACCAAATAGGGCTATCTTCTGTATACCCCCTCTACCTTGTCACAACACAACTGATTGGCTCAAACGCATTAAGAAGGAAAGAAATTCCACAAATTAACTTTTAAGAAGGCACACCTGTTAATTGAAATGCATTCCAGGTGACTACCTCATGCAACTGGTTGAGAGAATGCCAAGAGTGTGCAAAGCTGTCATCAAGGGAAAGGGTGGCTATTTGAAGAATGTCAAATATAAAATATATTTTGATTTGTTTAACACTTTTTTGGTTACTACATGATTCCATATGTGTTATTTCATAGTTGTGATGTCTTCACTATTATTCTACTATGTAGATAATAGTAAAAATAAAGAAAAACCCTGGAATGAGTAGGTGTTCTAAAAGTTTTGACCGGTAGTGTATGTAAACAGAGTACAGGAGAGACCTACTGCAAGATATCAGAGGAAGATAAACATACACCTTGGGAAGAACAATGGAACACACAATGGGGCACAATGGGGCACTTAAGGGAAATAGCACTCAAGGACTACATTGGGACACATCACCTTGCAGCAGCTCAAAGCTGACCTAAGACAGTTGGGATCCATGGGCCATTACAAGACATTGTGTATTACTCTGTGTGTATGTGTGCCACCAAATCTGCATAGAACCCAACTTTAGAATCATGCACGCACACCATGATTCCACGCTAGCTAATTGGCTCACTGGGTCCAGATGCCATTGGTCATGGTGCAATTGCCAGCAATGTTTAGTCCTCTCTGTGCATCCAGATGTTGTACAAACTCTCAAGCAACTCTCATACGTTCGGATGCTAAGCTAGTATGACCTACTGGGTGTTGAACCCAATGCCTCCAAACATTAAGACTTTGTTAGCCCATTGAGCTAAATCCCAACTCTGGGAGCTAACACAAGTCTCCAGGTCTCCGACAAGGTTAATGATCACACGATTGTGTAGTTCACTGAACCACCTCTGCTACACTAACGTATCAGATAACCTTTGCGTGTTCCAACATCATAGCCTAATAGTGCAGGAACAGCACTAATGATCAGCCAATGTGAAGCTCAGTCAATAGGACATTCAGTACAGTATTAACACAGGATTAGTTTGATTAGCTGGAGCAGGTATTCCCACTAATACCACTCCACTGGTTACTGATTAATAACACTTATTAAATTCAGTACTGATGACTTCATGTGTTCTTTATTGACATTTGAAGAGGGAACGGATGGCACCAGCTTTTCAATATGAAAATGAAATACCAGTTATTTGCCAAACCCAGCTAAATATTCTGTAGATGTAGATGCAATCTCTACTGTACTGTAAATGCTGACCTGTGTAGGGAATTGTGAATACATTGTGAATCTTTTCTGTATTTATGGTTTATGCTACCTTTGTCTTGAAGCGATGAAGCAATTAGAGTGAGACTTGTTGAGAGAAACAGTAGCCAGCTGAACAGCTTCATCCCTCATGTTGTCACTGAGCTGGCATTTATACTGCTAACATTCTGTAAAGCCAACTCAGCACTCTGGACTGGAGGTGCTGTTGGTGGGGAGGGGGGGTTGGGCTGTGTGTGTGTGTGTGTGTGTGTGTGTGTGTGTGTGCATGCCTGTATGTCTATCCTCCTGAGGTTTGCACTAGGCATTTGTAGGTAGATTTGGAAATGCTGAAGCTACTGCAGTATATTAACATAGTCATATAACTCATGTATTGTTTACCTTATTTAATGGTTATCAAATGTCCTTATAAGCATAAAGTGTACTCCCCATTGAGCTGCCATTACCCCTGTAATGTGATATCTCAAAGCAGGAAGTGTAACAGTGGTTTGAATCCTGAAGCTTTATTGAGTTTGACAGTATCACACAAAATGGAGGGTGCCACACAACATTCATGATGATGTCAGTACGGGCTAACTGTTCAAGACACAGATGATACACAAACAGTAGCTGTTTTGTCTGGATGTATAGAGCCTAGAAAAATGCAGTTTACATTTGTATTATTGGTCACTAATGTGTCTTGTCATGTTTCTCTTCTGTGACTATGTAGGCGTACTGTTTGTGAAAGAACATGACACAAATGTCTGTAGTAGCTGGACACACAACACGGTATTTGTGAGTCATATGGTGTGTGGCCAAAATAACCCAATGTTCGATCACATAAATAAACCTACCTCAAGTTTAGCACAAGGTCCATTGGAAAATGTTACCACGTTATCAGGTGCTGAGGTTCTGTATGCAGTGCCGTTATGGTTTAGGGCCACACACACACGCACACATTTCAGAGTGTGAAAACAGCTAGTTGAAATGTCCCCCCTACCTGCTGTATTGTGGTGTATTACGATAGAGTGATATCAGATATCAGTGTGTGATTAATGAGTTAAATTAGCTGGTGTGTGGTTGTGCTGTGGCAGGAGCAGGATCTTAACAAGTGGGAGGCATGTCGCTGTTCCCGCAGGCCCTGGCATGGACCCAAGCTGCCAGGCTAGACATGGGCTCTGGCACTGCCAGTCCGTCTTTTATTCCCACCGCTTCTCTCTGTCTCGTTCTTTATTTTTCTCCAATGCACTCTCCCTTTCCATTCCTCTGTGCTCTCGCTCTGTGTCTGCAAATTGTTTTTTTTGTTGAGTGGGCTCCAATGAGGGCTCTATGTTAAAGACCTCATGGATGGTCAGTACTTACAGTACGTCCATAGCTCCATCTAGAAGGAATGCAGTTATTTATTTATTAAAGTATTCCATAAGTACTTTGAATCACACACTAATATTTAAAATTGTCCCTCTTTTTTCTCTCTTTCTCTCTCTTTCTGCAGGTGGAGCGAGAGATAGCCATTCTGAAGCTCATAGAGCATCCTCACGTTTTAAAGTTGCACGACGTCTACGAAAACAAGAAATATTTGTGAGTATCCTGTCCAAAACGATTTGGTTCACTGAAGCGCTGTAACAAATGTGCTTCCCTTAAACGGTTAAATTGCGTATTTGGAGAAGCACCAGTGCATAGCAACATGTTAGCAAACAAGCAAGGCAAGTTGAAAATCACTTGAGCAAACAAGAAATACAAGTTGAAAATCACTTGAGAAACGTATTTTCCGGGGCCATTTTCACACTGGCATGTAATGTTTCATTGGGTCTCCCTCAGTTTAAGCTGCCTATTCGGAATCCTGTAGGTTTAATGTAGATCCATATGTTATCCTATGTATTAATCTCTCATGTGTCCCTGCTCCAATGGCTCTGCTTAATGCACTATTCAATAATTGTTAAAGGCGCCAGCGACGACTGGTGTGGGAATTCATTTTCCTAATATTCCGATGACACAGACGAATCGCCGACACGGACTCAAAGTGTCTGCCTCGGATACGTTTTCCCACTCACAAATCATGTGTGAATGTGTTCTTAATTTAACTAGCGTTGACAGGTGAACGCTTGAGCACATCCCTTAATCTGCTAATAAATCAGGAAGTGGTGTGGGTGGGAGAGAGGGTGGTTGTGGGAATGTGGAGTATCCTGCTACAGTAGGGATACCACAGTGTGTCTTCAGTGCTTTCTCACAGATACAGCACAGTAGCTACCGCAGATAATATCACAAGAGTTACCACATATACTCTCACAGTAGCAACCGCTGTAGATACAACTATAGAGTAGAGGAACTTCTATGGATAGAAGACCATTACTCCAAATGTTTGAATTACATATTAACACTTGAGGGTGCACTAAAAGCAGTGGTTTCTGGATCAACATTAATTAATGATTGAGTGCCTCATTAAATGACAAAAATGTCAAAGTAATGTAATTATGTGGTCAGCTTGTGCAAGCTTGAGGCTAGCTGGTCCTTGCCTTTCACTACAAGCAGTCCTGGATCTTGTAGACGATCTCTGTAGTACCTAACCAGAGACACTTAGCTATAGAGTTATGATATAATGTACACTACTGGTCAAAAGTTTTAGAACACCTACTCATTCAAGGGTTTTTCTTTATTTTTACTATTTTCTACATTGTAGAATAATAGTGAAGACATCAAAACTATAAAATAACACATATGGAATCATGTACTAACCAAAAAAGTGGTAAACAAATAAAATATATTTAATATTTGAGATTCTTCTAATAGCCACCCTTTGCCTTGATGACAGCTTTGCACACTCTTGGCATTCTCTCAACCAGCTTCACCTGGAATACTTTTCCAACAATCTTGAAGGAGTTCCCACATATGCTGAGCACTTGTTGGCTGCTTTTCCTTCACTCTGCGGTCCAACTCATCCCAAACCATCTCAATTTGGTTGAGGTCTGTGGATTGTGGAGGCCAGGTCATCTGATGCAGCACTCCATTACTCTCCTTCTTGGTAAAATAGCCCATACACAGCCAGGTCATTATCCTGTTGAAAAACAAATGATAGTCCCACTTAGCACAAACCAGATGGGATGGCGCATTGCTGCAGAATGCTGTGGTAGCCATGCTGGTTAAGTGTGAATTCTAATTAAATTACCAACAGTGTCACCAGCAAAGCAACCCTGCACCATAACACCTCCTCCTCCATGCTTTACGGTGGGAAATATACATGCGGAGATCATCCGTTCACCCACACCGCGTCTCACAAAGACACGGTGGTTAGAACCAAAAATCTCCAATTTGGACTCCAGACCAAATGACACATTTCCACCGGTCTGATGTCCATTGCTCGTGTTTCTTGGCCCAAGCAAGTCACTTCTTCTTATTGGTGTCCTTTAGTAGTGGTTTCTTTGCAGCAATTCGACCATGAAGGCCTGATTCACACAGTCCCCTCTGAACAGTTGATGTTGACGTGTCTGTTACTTGAACTCTGTGAAGCATTTATTTGGGCTGCAATTTCTGAGGCTGGTAACTCTATTAAACTTATCCTCTGCAGCAGAGGTAACTCTGGGTCTTCCATTCCTGTGGCTGTCCTCATGAGAGCCAGTTTCATCATAGCGCTTGATGGTTTTTGCGACTGCACTTGGAGAAACTTTCAAAGTTCTTGAAATGTTCCGTATTGACTGACCTTCATGTCTTAAAGTAATGATGGACTGTCATTTCTCTTTGCTTTTATTGTCATAATATGGACTTGGTCTTTTACCAAATAGGGCTATCTTCTGTATACCCTCCTACCTTGTCACAACACAACGGATTGGCTCAAACGCATTAAGAAGGAAAGAAATTCCACAAATTAACTTTTAAGAAGGCACACCTGTTAATTGAAATGCATTCCAGGTGACTACCTCATGAAAGCTGGTTGAGAGAATGCCAAGAGTGTGCAAAGCTGTCATCAAGGGAAAGGGTGGCTATTTGATTTGTTTACCACTTTTTTGGTTACTACATGATTCCATATGTGTTTTTTCATAGTTTTGATGTCTTCACTATTATTCTACAATGTAGAAAATAGTAAAAATAAAGAAAAACCCTGGAATGAGTAGGTGTTCTAAAACGTTTGACCAGTAGTGTATATCATTTGATATATAAAGCTCTAGACTGTGTTTCTAACGTGTGTGGTTCCCTCCCTCCCCAGGTATCTGGTGCTAGAGCACGTGTCAGGGGGAGAGCTGTTTGACTACCTGGTCAAGAAGGGACGGTTAACGCCCAAGGAGGCCAGGAAGTTCTTCAGACAGATAATCTCAGCTCTGGACTTCTGCCACAGTCACTCCATATGGTGAGTCATCAATCAGTCAATCAATCAATCAAATGTATTGATAAAAGTCATTTTTACATCAGCAGTTGTCACAAAGTGCTTTTACAGTATCCATGCCTAGACCCTAAAGAGCAAGCAGAAGTAAAAGCTCAGTCCTACTTTCTGAGATAGTGTCTGGTCTGTCATTTCACTTTTATCTGTGAGAGGAACACTGACCCGAGATCAGAGCGAGAGAGATCCTGACACTGGGCTCTTGGAAAGTGGAAACATTAGCGTCTGATCAAAGGAAATTATAGTACAATGTGTATATTTTTCTGGAAATTTCCTAGACAACATTCCTGGGAAATGCATAATTCCAGTCGTGTAGGATTGTCAGGTTTTCTTGTTTTGACCTCTGCTTGGTACTTGGGTAAATTATATTTTTCTCTCTCTTTCCCTCTCCGTCACCTTTTCCTTCTCTCCCTCTCCATCTCCCCTCCCTCCCTCCCTCCCTCCCTCCCTCCTCTCCATAGTCACAGAGATCTGAAGCCAGAGAACCTGTTGTTAGATGAAAAGAACAACATTAGGATAGCAGACTTTGGCATGGCGTCTCTGCAGGTCGGGGATAGTCTGCTGGAGACCAGCTGCGGGTGAGTCAACTGTGTGTGTGTGTGGTGTATGTGTGTGGTGTATTTGTATGGTGTGTGTGTGTGTGCGTGTGTGTGCGCGTGCGTGCGTGCGTATGTGCTAGTGATGCGCGGGTTGACTCATAACCCGCGGGTCATTAAATATTGTGTGAATGAAGGGCAGGTGACGGGCTGGTTGAATAATGAGAAAGTAATACCTTAAATGTATCATTCTTGGCAATTTATATCTATAGGCTACTTTGAGGTTTTTCTTTCATTATTTTAGGCGATCTGGCATTAGTGCCTTAGCTTTAGGGCCTAACTGAAGATCACATTTAGGCAACATTTTGTCTCGTGAACAGGAGTGGAGAAATATGATTAATTTTTTTCAGCGGCTTGAGAGGATGCGAATGCGCAGTTACAGTGCCTTCGGAAGTATTCAGACCCCTTGACTTTTTCCACATTTTGTTACGTTACAGCCTTATTCTAAAATTGATTTTCCTCAGCAATCTACACACAATACCCCATAATGACAAAGCGAAAACTGGTTTGTAGAAATGTTTAAAGAAATACCTTATTTACATAAGTATTCAGAGTCTTTGCTATGAGAATCGAAATTGAGCTCAGGTGCATCCTGTTTCCATTGATCATCCTTGAGATGTTTCTACAACTTGATTGGAATCCACCTGTGGTAAATTTAATTGATTTGGAAAGGCACACACCTGTCTATATAAGGTCCCACAGTACATGTCAGAGCAAAAACCAAGCCATGAGGTCAAAGGAATTGTCCGTAGAGCTCCGAGACAGGATTGTGTCGAGGCTCAGATCTGGGGAAGGGTACCAAAACATTTCTGCAGCATTGAAGGTCCCCAAGAACACAGTGGCCTTCATCATTCTTAAAAGGAATACGTTTGGAACTACTAAGACTCTTCCTAGTGCTGGCCGCCCGGCCAAACTGAGCAATCGGGGGAGAAGGGCCTTGGTCAGGGAGGTGACCAAGAACCCGATGGTCACTCTGTGGAGATGGGAGAACCTTCCAGAAGGACAACCATCTCTACAACACTCCACCAATAATGTCCTTGAGTGGCCCAGCCAGAACCCGGACTTGAACCCGATCTGCAGAGAAGAATGGGAGAAACTCCCCAAATACAGGTGTGCCAAGCTTGTAGCGTCAAACCCAAGAAGACTCGAGGCTGAAATCGCTGCCAAAGGTGCTTCAACAAAGTACTGAGTAAATGGTCTGAATACTTATGTAACTATGATATTTCAGTTTTTTATTTTTAATACATTTGCAAACATTTATAAAAACCTGTTTTTGCTTTGTCATTATGGGGTATTGTGTGTAGATTGATGAGGAAAAACATTATTTAATCGATTTTAGAATAAGGCTGTAATGTAACAAAATGTGGAAAAAGTCAAGGGGTCTGACTACTTTCCGAATGCGCTGTAGATAGCCTACTGTCTGTAGAGGTGCTATCATTATTTGCATTATGAAAGCTGATAGTATTTCAACCACATAAAATATGCATCCATGCCGAACTGACATTTTATCAGAAACATGTTGGGTCATTTTCACAGCTTTCTATTTTACAACCGGTCAAACTGATGTCATTTCCACATTTTGCACAGAAAATATATATTTGTATTTTTTATTTTTTATTTTTCTCCTCAGTCCCTAAACGTCTTTGCTCCACGAAAGAAGCAAAGATAACAGAAATTATAAGTAGAAACATATCTAAATACCCCTGTCAAAAAATTGTTTTGCCATCTGCGACCCTACAGCGCATTTTCTATATTAGCATTTTAGGGTCGGGTGCAGGTTTCAGATTGTCACTTTATTGCATATAGTCGGGCGGCTGTGGGTTATTAGCAATTGTGGGCAGGTGTGGGTGAACAAACAGCTGACCCGCGCACCACTAGTGTGTGTGTGCGTGTGTCCAATCCCTACACAGTCGTAAAGCCATGTGTGTGTATAAGAGCATGCTTGTGTGTGTTTGTACCTGCGTATGTGTGTGTCCACTTGTGTGTGTGTGCGTGGTCAGTAAGATCTTCAGCCCAGATAACCAGGGCCAGTATAGCCTACCCTGCATCTTTACAGATTAGCGATGTAGCAATGCTAAATCTCTGTCCATCATCATCTGGAAGAGAGACAGTGTGGCCTAGCACAATGTGACAGAGGAGGTATGAGCAGGAAGTTGGCGTGACAGGCTAACGTGCTAACCCAGGTGAACTCTGTCGAGGGCTTAGCTCTTTGTTCCCATTTCATACACACAAACACAACTAGGCCATGACTCAACACAAATAAACAGCCAAAAAACTGCAAAAAAACATGTCTGCTTTGTTTTCTCGGGCAAAGTCATGCGTCTGACAAGCACGTTGGACACTGTGTGACTTTGTGTTCCAAGGTGTCCTTTTCAAAGACACTGAATTCATGCGATGGCCATGTCATATCCCTGACCTTAAGGACCTATTTGTGGTTGTATAATTGTGCCTTTTTCGTTTCCTGTGCCCTGTTGTCATAGTGACTCATGCAGGTTTTCTTTTCAGGGTCACATGGGTCCACATGCAAGGGTAGTATTGGAACTTTACTCTCGAATCACTGTAATATACAGGTAACTGCCAAAATACAGGAAACGCCAACAATAGTGTCTTAATAGGGCATTAGGCCACCACCAGCCAGAACTTCAATGCACCTTGGCATAGATTCTACAAGTGTCTAGGAACTCTATTGGAGGGATGTGATGCCATTATTCCACAACAAATTCAATCATTTGATATTTTGTAGATGGTGGTGGAAAACGCTGTCTCAGGCGCCGCTCCAGCATCTCCCATAAGCGATTAATTGGGTTGAGATCTGGTGACTGAGACGGCCATGGCATATGGCTTACATCGTTTTCATGCTCATCAAACCATTCAGTGACCATTCGTGCCCTACTTTCAATAAAGCACCTGCTTTCAATGGACGGATGGCGCAGTGGTCTAAGCAGCGAGCTCCTACTCCATAGACCGTGGGTTCAATCCTTGCTCCCGTCACTTGTTTGTGGGCGGCAGGTAGCCTAGCGGTTAGAGCGTTGGGCCAGTAACTGAACTGTCGCTAGTTCGATTCCCGAGTGGACAAGGTAAAAGGCTGTTGACCCCACTCTCCGAAAAGTTTCAAAAACCAGACCCTAGGCAACACAGTGACTAGGGTCTGGTTTCAATGATGGACTCTTTTGGCATAGAGGTACTACGTCACTGCCATATGCCACTACTTTATCTGCTTGAATGAAATCGACGTAGGCAGTGACGTAGTTCCTCTATGCCAAAATAGTCCATCATTGAAACCAGTCCCTAGTCACTGTGTTGCCTAGGGTTGGATCTTCGAGACTACACTCTGAGGGTGTCTCAGGGGGAGTTGGGATATGCAAAAAACACATTTCTATGTATAATACACACTTGTACATGTGTAAAATAGGACAAATATAAGCACCCACCAAATTATTATTAGTTAATTATTATATACTTTGTATCCCTCATTTGCTCAAGTGTTTCTATTACTTTGGCAGTTACCGGTACAGTATATCATTTGTTGAATATATAAATAAAGATTGCATACCTAAAAGGTGACATGATGACAATGGAAAAATCTAAACTTTTATCCTTGCTTCAGAGGTATAATATCACTCTCACAGAGTGATAGATTCTTCTCTCCCTTGCCCTCTGACCGACGTTCATAAACATATTATGAAATATCATCTTTATCAGATACAATTACTCTACTTTCCATGAAGGACAAATTGAGGAATCCTTAATTTGACGTACCTAATGTAAAAAACATTAAACATTAAATATCGTTTAGAGACAGCTAAGGACAAGTTGCTCTAAACAATGTGATAAAAAAAAAAGTGTGCGTTTATAATTATTTGAAGGTTTGCATGCTCTGACATTGCTCTGTTTGACTAGGGCAAATTGACTGGTTTTCCATACATTACCATAATTCAATTTCACTCTTGTCAATCAGGAAGCTTGTGTTTACAGAATGTACGTGTGTGTGTGTGTCCTTGCGTGTGTGTTGCGTTGAGAAGAAGACAGATGCACGGCAACACTCTGTCAGTGTGTCAAAGTAACTGTATCTTTATTAATGAATAACACAGTACACACAACACAAACAGACCAGATACTTACTACACACACTGCTTTCACACCTAATAGAAAGTCATGAGAACTAACTAAGAATGAAATGCACATATATAGTAAAGTATGTTCAAATCACAGGGTATGTTCAAACCACCAGTTATGTAGTCACATGACAATTACATTATAACAAGGTGCATAGGTCCTGTATAGAATTCAGTACTCACTGTGTTTCTGTGTTCAGTAGAGTGTTGGTTCATCCTCTACGCAATGTGTGCTCAGCACAGTGTGTGCACATAAAATCGTAGGCATTCGTAAATCAAGACAGACTGAGACGCATTTGGGAAAATCCAAAAATCTATTTAGTGCAGTAGCTGAGTAAATACTGAGTGCCATTTTCTTGACTGTGTTTCTGAATTTATCACAGTGCATTTGTATTTGTATTTATTAGGGCAGCAGATACTCTTCCTGTGGTCCAAACACATTAAGTCACTTACATTACATGAAGCAAAAGATAAAACAGTACATCATATAACATTATCACACCACTACATATCTACAACACAAAATGTATAATACAACAATATGGCAATGTACGTGTGTGTAGAGTACGTGTGCTAGTGCGTGTGTGCGTATATGTGTGTCTGTACCTGTGTGTGTGTCTCTTAACAGTCCCCGCTGTTCCATAAGATGTTTTTGTATCTGTTTAAGTGTGTACCTCTGCTAATAGAGCTGATACTATATTCCTACCACCTACAGTGCCTTGCAAAAGTATTCATCCTCCTTGGCATTTTTCCTATTTTGTTGCATTACAACCTGTAATTTAAATGGATTTTTATTTGGATTTCATGTAATGGACATACACAAAATAGTCCAAATTGGTGAAGTGTAATGAAAAAAATTAATTGT